CCTTCCTGTGTCACCTCTCCCTGAGCCCAGTGGGTGCCCCAGAAATGTTCTTGTTTGTCAGGCCAACTGTGGTCTCACAGAAGGTGGCACAACAGTGTCACCTCTCCTTCCCAGGAAGCCTCCATTCCTCTCATCCCCACAACCACGTACTGAGGCTTTGGAATTATCCAGCTGGAGGCGTTTCTACAGCCACTTGCACCTTTGAAGCTGTGACAAGGCTAGTTGAAACAGGCAATGGGTTCAGCGTAAGAGTTTTTAATATGAGGTGGAGTAAGGCCAAAACCGGTTTGGCTCAGTGGATAGAGTGTCGGTCTGCGGACTGAAAGGTCCCAGGTTCGATTCTGGTCAAGGGCATGTACATTGGTGGCGGGCACATCCCCGATGGGGGGGTATAGGAGGCAGCTGGTCAATATTTCTTTCTCATTGATGTTTCTAGCTCTCTATCCCTCTAACTCCTCTCTGTAAGAAATCAATAAAATATATATATTTTTTTAAAAAACGGAGGTGGATCAAGAAGATAGACTAAGCAAGTCTGTAAAAAAACATTAAAAAGTTAAGCTTGAATTATGGGCCATGCATTTTCCATTCATGCATTCACTTTAGCATCAATTATTTACCAGAGTGCATTATCACCTTCATTGCACAGTTGAGAAAATTGAAACTTAACTGATGTTGGTCCCATACAGATAAATAATGACTGTTTCATACTGCAAAATCTGTGCCCTGGTCTCAAAGACCACTCGGCCTGTTTGAATAAGGGCTAGTACAAGACACACATTAGTATCCACTTCATATGTTATGGACAACATCTGGGAAGAAATAGAGCAGGAAGGAGACATAAAGCTATACGATAGCTTAAATCCAGAGAGTGGTTGGAAAAATTCTGGGAAAAAATTGCAAGACAAATCTGGGAATAAACAATTTGCTTTAGGGACTCACATAAAAACAAACGAGGGCATCTTATGGGGGGCAGTTATAATGAATGGGCATTTCAGTACTGAGTAAGCTGATGAAATTGCTGGAAATGGGGTATTAAGGATGCCATCACTCTTGTATCCATCCAGGATCATATTCTGAATCAGTCGACAACATTGGTTCACACACTTTATTTGGGCTTCTCCTCCAGAGAAATGGTCAGCTGACCTTGAGCAATAAAGCATCCCTATCTGCCAACAACACATTCTAGGGAACACTTGTGTGGCAGTCAAGAGCTGCTGCTGCTCGGAAAGAGATAACAGGTTTCCATCAATCACTCAGAGAGGGAAGGAATGTCTAGGGCTGCAGTCCACTCATTCAATCCTCTTGTCTAGAGTGGAGACTCACATAGGGAAGATTCAGGAGGAAATGGCAAAAGCAATGACATTTACCAGTTACTTTACATTTATTCCTCAAAACAACCCTGAGGTAAAGGTTACTGCCCCATTTTTCAGAGGAAGAATTGCAGATTCAGGGGGGTTAAGTTAGCCAAACTCAGTCATTAAGTGTTTCAAATCTAAGCTGATGTGATTTCAAGATCAGCTCTCTGCATTATACCACAACTGACTCATGCATAATTTTAATACTTAAATTATAGATTGCCTTGGATCCAGATAGTAGCAGCAGCAGCAATTTTATGAGATTTCCATGTGCTAAGCATTTTATTTAAAAAATGGCTCATTTAATAAAAACAACCAAATGAGGTAAAAATTTTCATTATATGGTACTTCAAGACATGAAGAATTTTGTCTTTCCTCCACTTATAGCTCTGTGTGTGTGTGTGTGTGTGTGTGTGTGTGTGTGTGTGTGAGGGATACAGATGACTGCTTGACTGCTTGGGCTGGAGTTGATAATAATGGAATGATTATTATGAGCTTCAGGCTGCATCATGAAAATTAAACAAGAACAAAGGGGAATCGTTTTAACCAAAATTTGGGCTATTAATGAATCCATGGAGCTTTTTCAACTGGACATGTCTTCCTTGTCATGTAGGACATTGATAGTCAGCTGAAATATACATATCATGGACTTGCTCATTTGTTTCTACATTTTGGCTATGTTCATTAACCCAAGATTCTTATTACTACAGATTATTTCTTCTGATGTTATTTCAGTCCTATGCATAAGCTTTAGAATACATATATTTTCTTAGGGCTGTTTTCTATAGAAACAGTACTCATTAAATACATCCTTGCAAGCATGTGACAGATATATGTATATATATATGGACTTTGTGAAGATTTTCCCTAGTTTCGGAAAGGATAGAAATTGCCATTGAAGATCCTTTCTCCTCAATTTCTATTACAGCCCAGCTTATCACTCACATCAGTCACAGTAGATGCAATGTACAGTTAGAGTTCTGGCTCTCTTTCCTTCCAGCTATGTAACACTGAACAGGTATCACTTTCTTTAGGTCACTTGTTACCAGTTTAAAACACTGTAGGTCGTGTACTAAACTCACACATCTGTTACTCCGCCCTAAATCTAGCAGCTGCCTTCTGCTCAGAGATGGGAACTTTCCTGAAGGGGAAGAGTCAGGACCCCCCTGGGACCCATCACAAAATCGATTTCTACTCCCATTCTCAACTTGCCCTCGAAACACAGATGCTGTGCTTAAAAGACTAATTGATTATTTTATTTCAATTGCACAGAAATGATGATGAAAAAGTAGGCAGAACACAGGCCATTAGAGCTCAGAAGTAGCAAATAGCAAACTGTTTATCAGTTAAAATTAGAAACTCAAATCCCACTGCTTCCAATTGTCATGGTAATAAAAAAAAATCTCCCCAAATGCTACAGTATTGACTACCAATTTAATTCTTTCTTATAAAACTATATCTAATGCAATGTTTATAATATTAGCATTGCCAATTACAGTAGAAATATGCTGGTTCCAGTAGCTAATAATTTTATATGTATCCTTCAACACCATCTATAACTTAAATGTAATATTTTTATTTGCAATAGATTCAATTTCCCTTTCTATTACATACTTTACATGAGACCATTCACTATTGTTATCATTTGTGTAATTTAATTACTTCCTCCCCATACCTTCTTTACATTTTACCAAAGAAATGGCATTTGGATTATTATCAGTAAAAGAAGACCAAGAAATCCAAACTATCTAGGAAGCTATTGTCATTAGTTTATATGAGAAATTATGAGGAACAAAAATTTTGGACCACCATTAGAAAAATGGCATTAAAGAGATTGTAGCAGAGAAGACTATTGGGGGGGGGGGGAAGCATTTATTCACATCTTCATGGAGTTTTAAATAATGCATCATTCATAAATAGGAAAATCTGTAGAGATCAATGTACTCTCTAAATAGCCGTCACTTTATTCAAGAAGAAACATAGAACTATAATAAGAACATTTCCGCAGGACTTGTTTGAGCACACTGACCAACTGTTTGGATACACATAACTCCTTGCAGGGGCAGGGCCCCTTTTCTTTACCAGGGGCCTTTTGGATATTTATCACATCATTCTCGGGACATACAAAATTATCAACATAAATATTAGCCTGCTGTATTTGGTCAAACATTTAATTAACTCACCCCTAATGTCTTGGCAGGGCCAGACCCAATGATTTCAGGGGCCTTATATGGCCTGCAGGCAGGACATTCCCCACCATGGAGAGGATCTCTGCCTGTTGGAAATAAACATTTCAAGGAAAGTACAAAATATTAGCTAAGAAAGCACCAATGCAAGAAAGTTTGAAATGCCTACTGTGCTTTATCCAAGAGGCCCACCTGAGGACAAAACCAGGTTATGGGAGTTTGCAAAGTGGTAGAGAGAGAATTACAATCAGAAAGTTAACAGATACTTTGGGCAGAGATAGATTCATGGGGTAGACTCAGCCACTGGCTGGGGTGAACAGGTGGAGCATGGAGGTACAGGAGCATAGAGAAAGATTGCAGGTGACTGCTGGCATGCTAGAAAGGTGCAAGCAAGCCCAGCAGTGACAAATGTGTCATGGTGGCAGGGCACTTAGCCTGGCCACAGAGACACTTGTAGACATTTAACAGGCAGGTAAATAGAATTATGTTGGTGACCAGGTGATCTAGTGACTCAAAAATCCAGTCACTGGATCAGATATGTGGTCTGAGAGAGTAGCTTAATCCTGAGTCCCACCCTGTCTGAGATATCCTTCCTCCAGGTATGCATATGGGCTCCCTGCTTCTATTAAGCAGCCTTCAGTGTCAAAGAAGGTCTCTGATAGGTGACTGTGGGTTCTAATATGTTCCCCACTCCCCACAGGGAAGCCACCAGTCCCATTCTCTGCTCCATTTCCCTTCACACTTATCACTTTGGTGCATTTTAAAAAATTAATTTGCTTATTTTTTCTATCATACTGTCCCTAAAATAATACAGGATCCAAGAAAGCAGTGGCATGGTTCTCTCATGTAATCTCAGGGCCCAGTATAGTACTTGGTTTTAAGCATGTAATAAGTGTTTTAGAAACATTGAGCAAAGGGAAGAATAATAAGTTAATGAATAAATGAGTTGAGTCAAAGTGTGCACAGGGAGGCACCATTCATAGATCATCAATGATACACCAAGGAAAACAGAATCAGGGGCTATTATGACAGTTGACAAGAAACAACAAGCAAAATTCTAATCAATTTTAGTGATTCTCTTGATGATAGGACACCTTTTGTGAAAGGTATGTGGAGAGGGCTATGCCTCATATTTGATAAAATGTGATCCCATCAATTTCATAATCGTTCTTTTAGTTAATTATTAACCAAAGATTGAAGATGGAGAGAGAATTCAAATAGTAATCAGGTACCCAACTGGAACTGCCATTGACCTATGTAGTATCCATTCTTCCCATCCTCCTTAGTAATTAATGCATAAGTTATACGTTGAGCTCATTGCCTTTCATAATTAACAACAATGTCCCCCAGATCTCCCAGCCACCCTTATAGAGTCATACAAAGTGCTGGATGAAATTGTTGTGGGGACTTTTGCTTAAAAAGAGCTGACTCCATCGAAAGTACTCGTGTTCAGTAGCATTCTGCAGTTCTCTCGGTAGCCTTCACCTGGGAGGTGATGGTTGGAAACTGGGAAACCAACAGTCCTTTTGGAACACAAATTGATATTAATGACAGGAGCCCTGTGCTAGGATGGTGAGGAAGAAAGAGAGGAGCCTGATCCTTAATGAATTCATAGAGTCACCATGGCAACTCAAGAGTGCTCATCTCCAGGTAGAAGCATAAGTAAAAGACTTCTATCCAGTTCTGGCTATTGCTGTTGGTATATGCAGCTGAATGTGATCCTAACTAACATACCTGGCTTCAAGAATTATAGCAAATGGGTTGTTAATGGAAAAAAAATATATCCAAAAAAAAAAAATGAGTTTCTGTTGCTGGCTTCTATTGACAATCCATTGTCATAACTAGGAAAGTAATTTTTCTGAGAACCTGTTCCTGCACTTTAAAATTTGGGAAAACAATACATGCTTATAAATTTGGTGTGAGAATTAAGTATAAAAGTGTATAAGAATGTGTTTTAGATACTGCATAGTATTAACTATAACTATGAATAAACAAGCAATTTCTGCAAAAACAAAACATAAGTCTTTGCTTCTGCTAGCCTATTTTAACATTCTGAAGAAGTGATGAATTAGCGTCTCATCACGATTTAACTAAAAATTAGAAACCACCTACTATGTGCAAATCAATATTAGAGATTCTGAAAAAAAATGAATGAATTAGATACCAGACACCACTCACCTCAAATATAAGTAGGAAGGAGGGAAAAAGAAAAGTTTAAACAACTATAATCCAGTCATGAATTACTGCCCCTGTCAAAGTAAATGATGCCATTGACAAAAATTAATTTTGGTTTCCACCCATCATAAATCTCTATCTGGCTAGCCCTTATTAAATCTTGGAATAATTAACTGAAGCAGACTGAGAACCTGCTGGCTATTCTCTAACAATTCTCATATAGAAAACTTTTAAACCACCTTTGAGAGTTAATCTGGTAAAATCCCACATTTCAACCTCAGGCTACCCTATAGCATGGATAAAATATTTTATTGGTTATACTTAGAAAAAGGGAACTGGAAGTTAAGAATAGAAAAAGGGCAGTATATGGATGCTAGAGTACAAAATGCTGTTTTTGCAATGCATCTTTGCAAGAAATAAAATCAATGGAAAAGGGACAAATAGTGCCCAAATGTTAACACTACATTGCTCATTTTGTGGGTTGAAAAATGAGAGGTGTATTGAGAAGTTACTAATATGCTGTGGTCATTATTAGTTATATGTACAAATATTTTTGGCTTCCCACCTTCTGGGCACATGGAACAATGTGTCTTTGGCCCCTCTGTGGATGGGTGCTGAGTTATGGAAGAAGATATAGATCACTTTTGAGCCTAAGTAGTCAATTATTGCTGCCACACCTCACAGAGCTCGCTCTCTCTCTCTCTCTTTTGCTAGGATAACCACCAATGTTTTTAAATGGTGGTTGCTTCATCAGACTGGGTTCTGAAAGGTGTGGTGAAAGGCACAAAACTCTAGCTGACCCACATGGGTCTATGGAATGAGCAAGTCATATATTTACATGTTTTTCTGTTGCTGAGATTTTGGATTTCTTTGTTACTGCAACTTAATCTAGTCTTCCCTGACTAATAATACTAGAGCCTAGTTTACGAGATTCACGCAAGGGGTCCCTCAACCCAGCCTACACTTTCTCGCAATCTGGGACCCCTTGGGGGACGTCTGACTGCCGATTTAGGCTAACACCCCCCCGCCCCAGACAGTCGGACATCCCTCTTGCAATCCAGGATACTGCATGCACCAGTGACCATACTTTCCATACATGTGAAAGGCATCTTGCTGTTGTATGGGAAGCTCCTTTATTTTTCCCCTGATTATAAAAAGTAGTACATAACATGATCCCTCTGAGGCAGTAGTACCATTTCCCCCATTTTATGGGTAGAAAAACAGAAGCCGTTTTGTAAGTTAAATAGTTGGCTTTGTCACACAGTTATAAGTGTCAAATTCAGGGATGACCAAAAAATTTGCAAGCCAGGGTTCATGCATGTCCATGCTGCAGCATCCTGTTTTCTCAGTGTTAGAGTAGCCTTGCCAGGTTTTAATTTTTAAATCTAAGGGACTATTCCCAATATATAGGGTAGAGTCCCTAGGCCTGGACGGCAATCAGGGTTGATCTGTGGGGATACTGGTGGGCAGGGTGATCAGGGGACCCCTACTAGCTGCCACCTTGACTGGCATCCGGGCACAGCCTGCTGACCAGCCACGCCTCCCAATTGCCACCGATGGTGGCTTCCCTCTTGGGGGGGCAGATGCTCAATGCAGGAGCTGCCCTACTCGGTCATTCCACAGGTCATTCTACACAGGTCATTCCACCATTTGATCAATTTGCATATTAGCGTTTTATTATATAGGATTAGAAAGTTTGCCATAATATGCCATGGAGAGGCTAAAGGTAGTGCTAGGGCGATAAACTTTATACTTAATGAAGGAAAGAGAAATAATAACTTGATGTCAAAGAAGATTTGCTCCATTAGTTATGTAAAGCTAACTAGGTTTAAAATATCATAGAAAAATTATAACAAAATCTCAACTATTTACTGACTTCTCAGATGAATGGATAATAGAGAGCTTGTATTCTTTAAGTAAATGGTGAGCCTGAGAATTACTGTTAAATTGCTCTGAACCTAAGGAAAAAGAAAAGGAAGAATTATAACAAGACCTGAGGGTAAGAGTGGTATGGAAAACTGAAGCCATGAGAGCTGGAAAAACAGTTCTGGGAAAAGAGAGAGAAGAATTAGAACTCTGAAAAGAGAAGTAAGAGAGCTAATGGAGAATTACATTAAGTGTTTTGTGTGGTGTGAAAATGCAATCCTCTTCTTCTTTTCCCACAAAACTTTTTCTAACAGCCTCTTCCCCCCCCCCACCCCAAAGTAAATTTAATCTTACCACATCTTAAAAACATTTTAGATTATACTAAAGTATTGATTCTTTCTTTAAGCAAGGGGTAGGACAAGACTGTTAAGTTTCTATGGAGCCCAGACCTAATTGGGAAACAAGCACTTTATTCCCATTTCAAGCATTCACCTTACTCTGTGCTTGTGGAATCTCACAGAGACAATTTTGAAACTGTGAAAAATGAGTCAAGAGACTTATAACTACAAAAGTTGTCAAAGCTACAGAAGGAGAATTTACAACTACAGTTTTTACCATTTTCAAATACATTTTTTGGAAAACTTAGGTTGTCTTCCATTTTAAGTCAATATTATTTTTTTTAAAATGCAACAGTGATCTTGTTCTAGTAAAAACTTGGATAGAGAGGGGTGGTTTTCAAAGAGTGACAGCTTCAGGGTAAGGAGCAGGCCAAGACAAGAGACCTCTCAGTTTCCATCATCTCTTCTAGTTAATCAGAGTGGCTTCGCTTTTATGTATTTCAAATATTATCATTCCAGATTTAAAAATTCATCATATTTTAAAGAAATTTAAAAATTCAGTTCTTTGGGGAAAATTTGAATACTTTCCTGTGTATTCTCTTTATTAGGTAAAACATAATATACAACCTCGCTCCCATTTTCAAATACTTGTCTGCTTGTTTTTTTCTGAAAAACCTGCCTTTAAGTTCTTTCTATATGTTTTCCCCTCCCAATCAACCCTCACTACCTGCCATGAAGATCCCTCATATATTGTACTCTCAAGACAACTGCAAATCTGCCACGTTGACCTTGTGTGCTTAGGACATCTGTGGCATTGCTTTTGACTTGTGCCTCCCTCTCTATGTTTTGCTTTCAATTTTTATTTTGCATTTTGATTCCAGATTTTTATTCTAAAATAAAAGTATTTTTGGTATCCTCCCATGTGTCTCTGACTCCTTCAGCCTTATGAGTGGTCTGTGAAGTCAAGTGCATGACTTCAGATTCCTCATCTTCAATTATAGAATCAAACAAAATCAAAATATGATCTTTAAAACTTTAAAGCATAAATTAATTATGAGTCTGTTTATAGATGTGCTCTATGGCTTACATTAGAGTTCAGAGATGATATTTACTACATTTAAATTATAAACAGGCCCCATGTCAGGCAACTCTGCCAGGAGATAAAACAATACAGGGACCAATCTTTTAAGAAAGCATTGATAAAGCAGCTGGCCAATTTTTATTCTTTAGTCAACCTATCGTAGGGAACTTTTTCATGTAACCCAAAATGCAGGTCAAGAGAGAGAAATCAGTGGCTTAAGTGCACTGTGAGACTCAATCACCTGCTTATGCAAATTTCTTGTGCCATTAGGAGCTTCTCAAGCCCAATGTCGTATATACCCCGCCCATTAAATAATGGCTGTTGTCACACATGCCCAGAAATGTAAGACAGGTGGTTCACGTTTCTGGTCACTCATCCTATGGTGACTGACTTCCACAGTCTCTAGGACAAACCATACTTCAGAGCTATTTCTCAAATGGAGCGTGGTTGCTGAAAAGAGCATCCTCTTGTTCAAAATTCTGAAACAGTCAGGCAGACATTTGTGGCAGGCTCCATTTAGCATTCCAGGAGCCTACAGGAAATTTAAGCACTTTTAGATCAGCTGGAAGCTAAGGCTTAAGTGACAGAGCACTTGCAATGCAACCTAGGACAGCAGGGGAGCCTTCTATAGATCATATTTAAAGCATCAAAACCTGGTGCTCCCCTGCGACTCTGTGTGGCATGCAGCGACCCCTTTTTCTAGGACCTATGAGTATAATAAACTTTGTTTTTTTTTGTGCCAAAAAGAAAAGTTCTATAGGTTATTTGGTAAATGGTCAGAGTAGCACATCCGAATATTGGATTCATATTGCATCCAAAATCAAAGAGACCCACTAAATGTTGAACTTTTTCCCTGTGGTTGGTAGGACAAAGTGTAGCACTTGTCATTCCTTTGAAGGATATTACATGCCTGAAAATTGGACATCCAGAAACTTCATGGAACTGGCATGTCCATGAATTTTCTTGAGGTTTATATTCCATTATCTTGCATTCATTTTTCTTCCCAAGATATTATGCATATTATGCTCACCAGGTCCAATATGCATGATGTCTTTAATGTAGTGGACAGTGTAATGTTCTGTGGAAATGTGAGGTGACCAATATTCCTGTGCACTTAATTATGATAGAGAACCAGAAAGTTAATATAGAGGGAACTAAGATTGTAAAAAATACTATTGGCTCTTCGAGGTGAAAGAAAATGGATTCTGATAGCCTTGGTTTTATATATATATATATATATATATATATATATATATATATATATATATATATATATATTTAGCCTAAGCAACCAAATGACAAAATGACCCATTTCTATGACGTGCACTGACCACTGCGGGCAGATGCTCAACACAGGAGCTACACCTGGTGGTCAGTGCACTCCCACAGCCAACCTCCCATGGCCAGCCAAACTCCCACAGCCCCAATCTGCCCTGATTGTCTGCCAGGCTTAGGGACCCCACCTGTGCACAAGTTTATGCACTGGGCCTCTAGTTATAAAAATAATTTGCCATCTCACAAACTTTGTATTAGTCATTAGGGCACTAGTCAAGTACCCATAATAGTAAGTCTTCTACAGTTGACCTTCCCACCTGCCATGTTGAAATACTCGTGTCACTCCCTAAAACCCATCTAAGTTTTCAGAAATGGAGAAGAGAAGAAATACCACCTGTATCAGTTTTTTTGGGCTGATGTAACAAGGTACCACAAACTGGGTGGCAATAAACATCAGGAAATTTTTGTCTCACAGTATTGAAGGCCAAAAGTCCAAAATCAAGATGGTGATAGGGCCATGCATCCTCTGAAAGCTGTAGAGGGGAATCTTCTTTGCCTCTCCTTACCTTTCCATGGTGGCCATTGGTCCTGGACACTTCTAAGCTTGGCATTTGAATCACCCCAGTTCTACCTACATAGTCACATGGCTTTGTACCTCTGTGAGCCTCTCTGTCTTAACCTGGGAGAGAGCGAGAGAAACATCAATGAGGAGAGAGAATCATTGATTAGCTGCTTCCTGCACACTCCCTACTGGGGATTGTGCCCAAAATCTGGGCATGTGCCCTGACTAGGAATCAGACCATGCCCTCCTGGTTCGTAGGCTGAGGCTCAACATTGATTACATAGGTCATGCCAGTATGACCTCATCATAATTTAACTAATTATATCTGCAAAAGCCATGTGTCCAACCAAGGTTACTACCTGAGGTACAGAATGTTGGAATATCAATATATCTTTTGGGTGGTTGGAAGACAGTTTAACCCATAGCATCAGCTTCATTTATTCTCAGAACTTTGACATAGTTCCTCATTTCTGAAATTTTCCTAAGGATTCAGTAATGTATTTTGTAAATAAGGATTACTTCAGGGGCTTCAAATATATTATTTCTATCTCAATAGAATCCATTCCATTCATCAGGAAAATGCTAGTTATAGTTTATATATATATATATATATATATATATATATATATATATATATATATACACACACACACACCAATTATACAATACATTCAGAAACATGGAAAAATAGTATCAGCATGTATCTGCAAATTCACCCAGGCTGAAATTCCATTACTGCCTGATCCCATGGCCTAAGCCTTCATTATGACTTGTCTCACAGTGGCATTCTGACACCCAGAATCAGCTCCTTGAGTATTGATTGCCCTTTCCCAGTTGATGGTAACTCATCAGTTTTCTTGGAGTAAAGAGATGTAGGACCTTTTGGGGAAAACCATAAAGAAACTTCATATTACATACTGTGACAATATCACATATACATATTATCTCTAGATTGAAAACTCTAGCTAAATCAGTCTATGTAAAACGGGCCTGGGAATTGGATGAAGGCAATGACATTTCATCATAGTGATAGTGATTGAAATTAAGTATACTGTAAGTTTGCAAACTCGGGAGCTTCATCAGTCCCTGCGAGTACACATTTTAAGGATAGGGGAGGGAGTGACGAGCTTTAGATTGCCTGGGTCCAGCTCACAGGTCAACTGATGATCACATTCTCTCAATGACCTCTTCTATCATGTACATCAACCAGACCTATAATTTGATAGTTTTTTCATTTGCTTTTACAAAAATCTATAGGGCAATGGTCCTCTGCCCAGATATTTTAAGCCACTGCTAGTAATTTCTAATTATCAAAGCATCTTGATTAACAAAGGGGCCTAATTTCCATGACAGAAGCCATGCCTATTGATCAGTGCTGTCATTTGTCACCTTTCTACCAGAATCAGGAAGGAGAGAAGCCAAAGAGATTTCAAGGAATTGGCTTCCATGACCCCGGTGGTGGAAAGTCTGATGTCTGCAGGGCAGGCCGCAGGCTGGCACCTCTTAAGCAAGAACTCACTGCAGTCCATTGGTTGAATTGTTTTCTAACTCAGAGACCGTAGTTTTGCTTTCTTAATTGTTTTCCAGTTTCATTGAGAAATGAAGTACTGATTTATATGTATTGTGAAATTTTTAGCACAATCATTTCAGCTAACTTCATCTTACATAGATACAATATAAATGAAAGAAATATAAAAAAATAAATTTTGCATTGTAATCAGAATTCTTAGGATTCACTTTTAATATTTCTATGCATCATACAGCAGTGCTAGCAACAGTCATTATATAGTACACTTAATCTCTATTACTGATTTTTCTTATAACTTGAAGTTTGTACCTTTTAATGACCTTCCTTCAATTCCTACCTGTCACTCTCCATCTCTGGTAACCAACTACAAGCCTATTCTCTCTTTTTATGAGTTTTTGTATTGTTTTAATTCCCACATATAAGTGAGATATCTTTCTCTGTCTGACCTATTTCACTTAGTATAATGCTTTTAAGGTCCATTCATGTTGTTGCAAATGGTAGGAATTCATTTTTTTTTTAGAGCTAAACAACATTCTATTGTATATATTTTCCCACAACTTCTTTAATCATTCACTGATGGCCACTCAGGGTGTGCCCATGTTTTGACTACTGTAAAGTAATGTTGCTATGAACATGGGGATGCAGATATCTTTTATAGTTAGTGTTTTCATTGCTTTTGGATATCCCCAGAAGTGGAGTTGATGAATTATATCGTAATTCTATTTTTAGTTTTTGAGGGTCCACCATATTGTTTTTCATAGTAGCTGTACTAATTTTTAATCCTACCAATAGTGCACAAGGGTTTCCTTGAACCATTTAATGGTTTCCTTTGTTTTACTGAACTTCTTTTTTTATGAATTTAAATACACACACACACACACACACACACACACACACACACGCACCATATTTTCTGGCGTATAAGACGACCCCCTAATTTTACAGTTAAAACATAGGTTTAGGCCTATATTCGCTGTATAAGACTTACCCCCCACTTCCGAGACAACACCAGTTCTTTTTTTAATAGACCCCCTCTCTGACTCTGGCCAATCTGAGCAGGCTTTTTACTAGAACACAGTGTAGCTTCGGGTACAGAACATTTTAGTTGTCTGTGTGTCCCTGTAATTCACCAAACTTTTTAAAGATGATTATTCTGATTTCTTTGCATGAGTGTTCATATATCCATTTCTTTAAACTTAGTTATTAGAGCTTAATTAGTTATCATTAGTGATATCATATTTACTTATTTTGGGGGTGTGATATATATCTATATATATTTGCTTTCTTATATTGTTATCTCTGTGTTTGAGTAATCAGTTTCCTTTTCCTTCACCAGTCAGCTCAGTTTAGGTTTCTGGGCATGTCTGCTAGTAATTTCACTGGGCACATGGGGCCAGTTATTATGTTCTATTTGGGGAGTGAGGCAACTGTTCACACTTGGGGGAAGAGAAGAGTGTACCACTGGCTAAGGACACTTGGATAGAAACTAGGTGTTCTGGCCAGTCCTGTTGGGGTGCAGAGAGGAGCCACAGCAGGTGGGATTATATGTCAGCTCCTATGCCTGGGCAGGAAGGGGAGGGGTCACCCAGGCAACTTTCAATGTTCTTAACAGGCTCCCTGGTGGGAGAGGCTGGGTATAATGAAACCACCTGCCTATGTGTAACAGGGAAACTCCTCACACCCAGTACTGGCTTTTCTCTGAGGGCTATCAGCTCTGCCTGCCACACTTTGGTGTAAGCTCCATCACATTTAGAAGTTGTCACCAGCCTTTAGGCTGATAGGCTGAGTGGGGCTGTGACTCAACTCCTTGCATGATCATAGGCAAACCAGGCTCAAGGGTCAGCAAAACTCCTCCTTTGAGGATCTGAGTTAGACAGATATGCACTCCAGCTAAGTTTCCAAATCAGAGGGCACCCCTGTCTTGGTTCTGCAGATAAACAATCTGGAAAATCCTTAGAATACTATAGAAAGAGGAATATAAAGATTTAGGAGGCTAGGGGTGATGGAGTAGAGTATTATATACAGCTTATTCATCTAAACTCTAATTATGCTATTGCTTAGAACTACTCCCCGGGCACTGTGGGTATGAACTTGGTCTGCCAAGATCCATGTGTTAATTATTGCAAGACCCTCTCCTTTCTGCATCATAGATTTCCAGTGGTTGAGCCCAGAAGATTCTCCTATAATTCCCAGCGGTGATATCAGATTAGGGACTTCCACAAAGTGACCCACAATGCTACAGGGGCTGGTTGTCCCCTTCCACATGGTTCTTTTTTCTCACTGGAGGATCAGGGGATCCTCGTGTGTGGCTCCGTGCTGGCCTTGGAAAGGGGCAATGCCATCAACATGTGGCCACTTCTCTTACCTTCCGTTCTTCCTGGTCACTGCAGTGCATGGGTTACTTCAGCCTCTCCCTGTGTTCTAGGGTTCTCTCCATGGTGTTTTGTTCTTGAATAGTTTTTAGTTGGTTTGTTTGTTTTTGTGAGGGGAAGCAAAGTCAGGAATGACATATATTGTCATCTTGGTGTCTTCATGATCCTCTAGTTTTGCTTTTAAGGCTTACAACTGATAAAGTGAGGTTCCTCCAGATTATGAAAGGTAATGTCCTTCACTTACAGTCACCTGGTTATAAATGTTAGCTTCATTTACAAAATACCTTCATAGCAACAAGATTAAGGTTTAATTGAATAGCTAAGTTCTATATCCTACTGAACCTGACACACAAAATTAACCATAACGCTTCTTTTTCTGGGACCCATCACTCAGTGAAATAAGTCAGACCGTTTAAATGGCAGGATTTCCTACTTTAATATAGGCTTACATAACCTCTATAGAGCTTTATAATAACCTGGTATGTTTCTCACTTATGAGTTTTTCAGGGCTTTGGTGACAAGTATGTTCTCTGGGTCCTCCCACAGACATAATTAGAGTTTGGAGGAGTAAGCTGTATACTAGTATAATAATGTACTCCATCATCCCTATCTTCCTAAGTCTTTATATTCCTCTTTCTATAGTGTGCTAAGGATTTTCTGGATTGTTTATATCAGTCAGTGTAAGCCAGTCTTGAGTCAGAAGCACTCCCAGGTACTCCTGCTGGCATACTGAATTCCACCTCTCTGGAAAATGTACACACATTGTTAAACTTGACCTAACTGAAAAATGTGCTCCTTCTTTTCTACTTAGACACTGGAATATATTTTCACACATATTCTTCAGTGTGATTACACAGAAAGTAGCAAAGCCTTGAAAATGTTGGCTGTCAAACTATTGCATCCCATGATTGATTTTGTTTTTGACCCTTGGACATATGGGGTGTGACTCTATTCTTAGTCAGGATGCAGTAAGTTTAGGGCAGTGTCATGAAAACAGTTGGGTTTTGCTTGCAAGGTAAGTACCTCATGTGAGGACTTACAGGATCTCAAACAACATAGAATTAGCCTCATAAGACAGAGATAAGAGGTCTTCTGTGGACATGGGAGGATTAATAGATTTGGTGGGCCAGAAAACCCAGATTCCTTTTAATCTACCTAAGTACATTCATCCCCGTTGTGAGATTCCAATTTTTCCCTGAAAATTGCCCTAAATTACAAAGAGACTTGATACAGTGTGCTTGCATATATATATATATATATATATATATATATATATATATATATATATATATATTGTAGCCTATCCAAACTCTGCCTTTCAGTTTTAGTATATTGTCCTGATAAGAGATCATTTTAGGGCAGCCCTGGTTCTTGACAATACTTCAAGCTAAAAATGGAAAAATTTCATCATTTTTGTCAAAGTTCCCTTCCTCTTTCCTTCCCTATCCTTTGTTCCATCTATCATCTTTTTCCCTTCTTCTCTTCCTTCCTTCCTCTTTTCCTCCTCCTCCCCCTTCTCCTCCCCCTTCTTCTCTCCCTTCTTAGTGCATATCTTGTTTAAGTACAAGCTTTATAGTCTCTATCTTGTCCTTTTTATCTTGTTCTTTCTCTTTACCAAAGCCCATGTTAGAAACCTGTTTTTCTAACAAAGCCCAGCCTTTATTCTAGGTGATATTGTATGGTGATTTAAGTAACTTTTTTGTCACTTCATGCAGGGTATTTTTTGTACTTCGTTTTTCAATCATATTACACTATCATTACTGCTTTTACTCCAAACCAGTTGAGACAATCCCAGATGTTCATCTGAAGTGTCAACTTCTTGCTTCAAATATTTTATCAGTGTTGTTAAAAGAAACCATTTATGTTCAGAAGATAAATTTTAATACAGAATATTAGGTGGTAGAACATCATTTGAAGAGCTTCATGAGAATGTTTTAGGTTTGGTCTAGTGAAATGATTTCCAGATACATATGGGACTGACTCACAGGAGCATCATTTTTTACCTCAGGCAAATGCTAGAGTTAGGAGTTTGAGAACACCCTGGGGCCCTGATTCAGGCTTTGTAAAATTGGAAATAAAAAGCTGTCATGGAAACTATCTCTTAACACAGAAAGAGATGACATTTAAACATTGCTTCTCTTAAGCCTTCCAAATCTTAAACCAGTCCATCTAACAAGTAGAATCTAATTTAGATTTTTAAAAAATCTAAGTTGAAGGTAGTCTGGAAAATAGGGTTTTCACCTTCCCAATTTAACTGATAGGATGATGAATATGAGGTTGTGTAAGTCCTTTTCTCAGTTTTTATCAGAAATGGAAATCTGGATGCCACCCAATAGTGACTTAGGAGGCTCTTGAATTTCCCTCCTTTCACAGATGCACCAAATATAATATACAGCTTCACATAGCAATTGCCTCTGAGAGAAATACGAAAACTAGCCAAGTGATTCCTACATATCAGGCAACTGAGAAAAAGCCACATCAAAACAGGCTGGAAAGGCTAAGACACATGCTCACCAAAAAACCCACCCCTACCATAGTGTGATCAAATCAGGAGAAAAATCCTACCCCCAAGCTGCTCCTTGTAGAGCAAGAAATTTGGCCCATTCTTATGAAACCCCAACTTTTAAGGCTATCGTCCAAGAGATGGACCCCCAAATTACCTAGCTCTGAAAGCGAATGGGGCTGGCATTGGTGAGTCCAACAGAACCATAGCAAACAAAGGAGCATTGCATGCAAGAACTGTCTGTGGCAATCTCCCTGGGGCTCAGTGCAGAGGGCATCAGGCAGAATGCCCACCCTCAGTCTTTTCCTGGAAGGAATTTGACTACATACTTTATACACTGCTACTTGAAGGCCCAACTTCTAATTAGAGTACATCTGGATGCTGACTGTGATCCTCCCAGGAGTCTGAAAGAGCCATGTGCACTTCCCTGCCTTCCCCTTCTGAATCACTCTAACAGTAAAACCAAGAACCCAGCTTCTCCCTGAAAGGAGCTTGTCCACACATCTAGTCCTCTAATTTTGAGGCAACCATCTGAGAGACAGGCCTTCAAATCACCTACCTCTGATAGCTAAAAAGCCTGGGCCCTCACATATTAAATTTTTAAAAAGCAGTCTTCAAAGGGGTGAACACTTTTGTCAGCTATTCCCTCAGGGAATAGCACAGAGAGAGCTCACAACAATGCCTGTGTCCCAGTTTTTCCTTGGGAAGAATTTGCATATGTTCCCAGCTGCTGTCTGAGGTTCTGGCTTCTAATAACTTCATGTGCTCACTGTGATCCTCCCAGGAGCCTGATAGAACTGGTGAGTTCATCCCTCCCAATTTCCCCCCCAGCTTGCTCTAGCAATAATACCAGCGTTCAGTTTCTCCCTGAAAGGAGCTTATTAACATATGGAGCACCCCAACTTTTATGGCTGTCATCCAACTGTTATTAGCTCCCAAATCACCTAGTGCTAGGAGCTGATAAAGGATTAACATTCATGAGTCCCCAGGGACCACAGAAAACAAAGAGGCAGTTCTATTTGGGTGCATAAGCAATTTCAGAGACTATTCCCTCTGGCTCAATGCAGAGGGAATAGACAAAAAATACCCAGCTCCTCACTGATAGGAGCTAGACTGCATATCTAACATCCTGATTTTCCCAGCTGTGCTACTTGGAAGTTGAGCTTCTAATTAGCCTACATTGCTGGGGCAAGCAATCAGTAGTCATCCTGGTGCCTGAACAGGCATATGGGTGTTTTCTATGCCTGTAGGAAACCAACAGGTCTTGATACATTCTCAGCTTCTGAGAGCCACTCATATACAAAGACAGCTGCTTAGACAATCACATAGGTTTGAGCTGGGTGGGGCTGATTGGCAAGGTTCATCTATCAGGCGTCCTCAAACTTTTTAAAGTGGGGGCCAGATCATGGTCCCTCAGAGAGCTGGAGGGCCGGACTATATGAACTACTAATTCCTACTGTAACACCTCGGCTGCGCTCACTGCCCAAAAAACCTGGCGGGCCGGATCAGACTCCTCTGCGGGCCGCATGTGGCCTGCGGGCCGTAGTTTGAAGACCCCTGACAGCTCTCAAGTTAGAGAGATAGGCAGAAACCTAAACAGATAGTTAAATAAAATAAAGAAACAAGGGAACATCTTCCAAACAAAAGAATAATATGTCTCCAGAAACTGACCTTAATTAAACAGAAATGATTTACACAATAGAGTTCAGAATAGCAATCATAAAGATACCCACTGAGGTAAGAAGACCAATATATAAATAAAGTGAAAATTTCAGCAAGGAAAAGATATTAAAAACTATTAAATGTAAATAAAATTGACGAATACAGTAACTGAACTGGAAAAAAAATTATGAAGAGGTTCAACAGCAGACTAGTTCAAGCAAAAGAAAGGATCATAGAACGTAGGAATATATGATAGGCTATTAAACTTTAAAGAATAATGAAATTATATCAAGCATCTTCCCCTACTACAGTGGTATAAAAGTAGAAATTAGTTACAAGAGAAAAACTTGAAAATTCACAATTATGTGGAAATGAACAGCCTGCTCCTGAACAACCAATTTGGTCAAAGAAAAAATCAAAGACCAAGGTAGAAATAAATGAAATAGAGAGTAGAAGCTCAATAGAAAATATCAATGAAACCAAAAGCTGTTTTTTTTAAAAGATAAACAAAATTGACAAAAGTTTAGCTAGACTAAGAAAATAAAAGAGAAGACAATATCAGAAAAAAAGAGTTGTGACTTATAATAAATACTAATAACTATAAGAAACTACTGCAAATAATCATATGTTAAAAAAATAAATTCCTACAAACTTACAAGCCTCTAAGACTAAATTATGGCTGAATAGAAAATATGAACAAACCAATTACTTGTAAGGAGATTAAGTCAATAA